GGCGGCCCCCTCTGGCACCCTGTCTGGTCTCTACCTCCCCTCGTTCTCTACGAACTTGGTGAGTGGTGCTGACCTACAGGATGCGGGGGTTCACCAGTTCACTCCTGCGAGTCAGCGGGTGACCCACTGCACGGACGCTCGGACAGGCCGCCACCTGGCCACGTTTACACGTCGGCCAAGGTCGAGCCTGTACACACTGACCACTGCGTCTCCTCCAGTCCCTGCGTCTGGTCAGGTAGCTGCGTCGGGTCAGGTGTTTGCTGCAGCGTCCAGGTCTGGTCCTGAGTCTGCCCCCTGCTCGTGTCGCCTCCTGTCTCACGAGACTCTCCTCTGGCACCACCGCCTTGGCCACCCCTCCCTGCTTCGTCTCCGGAGCATGGCCTCCCGTGTCCTTGTCTCTGGTCTTCCCCGGTCCCTCCCTCCCCTTCCTCCGGGGCCAGGCCCTACCTGCGTCCCCTGTGTCGAGGGACGGCAGCGGGCTACCCCTCACTCCTCCCAGTTTCCTCCGACAGAGGCCCCGCTGCAGACGCTTCACATGGACGTGTGGGGCCCGGCCCGTGTCCGTGGACAGGGTCACGAGCGCTACTTCCTGCTGGTGGTTGACGACTACTCGCGTTACACCACAGTCTTCCCCTTGCGCAGCAAGGGTGATGTCACTGAGGTGTTGATCGACTGGATCCGCGCAGCTCGTCTCCAGCTCAGGCGGAGCTTTGGCTCGGACTTTCCTGTTCTGCGTCTGCACTCTGACAGAGGCGGAGAGTTCTCCTCTGGCCTTCTGCGAGCCTACTGTCGTGCACGAGGCATCCGCCAGACCTTCACGCTTCCGGACTCTCCACAGCAAAATGGGATTGCTGAGCGCCGCATTGGCATGGTCATGGACGTCGCCCGTACGTCCATGATGCATGCGGCTGCCCCCCATTTTTTGTGGCCGTTTGCGGTTCGGTACGCGGCGCATCAGATCAACCTTCAGCCCAGGGTCTCCATGCCGGAGACCTCCCCAGCTTTGCTGTGGACGGGGAAGGTTGGCGATGCGTCTGCGTTCCGTGTCTGGGGATCTCGGGCGTTTGTCCGCGACTTGTCTGCGGACAAGCTGTCCCCTCGTGCTGCTCCTTGCGTCTTCCTGGGTTTCCCCCCTGACGCCCCAGGGTGGCAGTTCTACCACCCCACCTCTCGCCGTGTTCTGTCCTCCCAGGACGTCACGTTCGACGAGTCGGTCCCCTACTACCGCCTCTTCCCCTACCGCACTCCGTCCCTCCCCCCGCCACCGCTCTTCCTTGTACCAGGTCCCCCCCCGGTAGACCCCCTCCCCCCTCAGGGTCCTGCCCCTTCAGGTGTGTCCCAGGTAGACGCTGTTGAGCCTGTCGAGGTCGCTGGTGACTCTGGTGCTGCTGAGGGTGCTGAGCCTGGGGGTGCTGACTCTGGGGGTGCTGAGCGTGTGGGTGCTACGCCTGGGGGTGCTGAGCCTGGGGGTGCTGAGCCTGGGGGTGCTGAGTCTGGGGGTACTACGACTGGGGGTGCTGAGCCTGGGGGTACTACGCCTGGAGGTGCTGAGCCTGGGGGTGCTGCGTCTGAGGGTGCTGAGCCTGGGGGTACTACGCCTGGAGGTGCTGAGCCTGGGGGTGCTACGCCTGGTGGTGCTGTGCCTGGCGGTTCACCGGGTGCTCCCTCTCGCAGAGAGCCACTCTCTCCCCAGGAGCTGCGTGAGTGGTTTGCCCGGCGCTGGAGGCGAGGTGCTGGAGCTGCTGGAGCTGGAGGTGCTGCGGGTACTGGAGGTTCTGTTGCTTCTGAGGGAGCTGGTGCCACGGGTCCCGGAGGTGCTCGTACTGGGAGTACTGGAGCTGCTGGACCTGCGGTTACTTCTGGAGCTGGAGTTGCTGCGGGTGTTGGCGCGGAGGCTACTGCTGTCGGTCCTGGAGGCGGTCCTGCTGGGGGTACTACTGGTGCTGCAGGGGGTTCTGGAGCTGGAGCTGCTACTGGTGCTGGTGCTGCCCCTGCGGGTGCTGGTGCTGTCCCTCCTGTGTCTGGAGTCGCCGCGCGGCCTCGGCCGTACTTCGTTCCGCTCCTTCAGCAGGTTCTTGGTCTCCCGCCTTCTACTGGTCCTCCTCCTCCCTTAGAGTGTCCACAGCCTGTCCCGTCGCAGTTACAGTTACAGCCGGCCTTCCCACTGCCTGCTCCGTCTCCCTACACTGGTCCTACTGGAGGTCTTGCTGAGCGTCGTGAGCCTGCGTCTCGCCCTGCGTCGCCTGTCCGTGCTGCTCGCACTAGTGGTCGCGGTTCGCGTCAGCGTCCTCCTCCTGTCCCTGGCACGCACCGGATGTCTCTGCGTCCGTCCACTGCTCCTCTGCGTGCCCCTTTGCCTTCTCCTCCTGAGTCTTCTCTTCCTACTCTTGTCGACCCGGAGTCGGACTCTCTTCGCGCTGCCAGTCCTACTGTCACGCGTCTCCTTGCTACGGTTGTCACTGACCCTTCCTTTGAGTCCACTGCTGCGTCTGCTCTAGTTGCTGAGCTCGTCGACTTTGCTGCTCGCTGTCACCTAGACTACGTCGCCAGTCTTGTTGCTGAGTCTGAGTCTGTCTGTCCTCCGTCCGTCGGGGGTGAGTGTGCCCTTGGCACGGACGTCCTTGAGGACAGGGAGGAGGAGTTCCAGTGCTTGGCCGCTGCTTCACCTCATCTCGTGTCCGTACTGCTTACCCCTGAGGGAGACCCGGATGCACTTGACATCCCGACTCCGCGCTCTTACGCGGAGGCGATAGAGGGTCCCTACTCCTCTCAGTGGCAGGCAGCTATGGACGCAGAGATGGCTTCCTGGAAGTCCACAGGCACCTACGTTGACGCTGTTCCCCCTCCCGGGGCGAACATCGTCAGTGGCATGTGGATTTTCAGGGTGAAGCGACCGCCGGGTTCTCCGCCTGTCTTCAAGGCGCGTTACGTGGCTCGTGGCTTCAGTCAGCGGCAGGGAGTTGACTACTTTCAGACCTTCTCTCCCACCCCGAAGATGACCACTCTTCGGGTACTGCTGCACGTAGCTGCTCACCGTGACTACGAGCTACACTCTCTTGACTTCAGCACTGCTTTCTTGCAGGGCAGCCTGCACGAGGAGATCTGGCTGCGTCGCCCACCTGGCTTCACTGGGTCTTTTCCTCCTGGCACCCAGTGGAGCCTACGGCGGCCAGTCTACGGTCTCCGCCAGGCACCGCGTGAGTGGCACGACACACTGAGGACTACACTTGCAGCTCTTGGGTTTGCTCCCTCTACTGCCGACCCGTCGCTGTTTCTGCGCACCGACACTTCTTTGCCGCCGTTCTACATCCTCGTGTACGTCGACGACTTGGTCTTTGCCACAGCTGACACTACTGGACTAGCCCACGTGAAGTCCGAGCTGCAGAAGAGACACACGTGCACTGACCTGGGTGAACTGCGCAGCTACCTTGGCTTGCAGATCACTCGGGACAGAGCACGCCGCACCATTACCCTGACTCAGTCACACATGGTGCAGCAGGTCCTTCAGCGCTTCGGCTTCACGTACTCCTCGCCTCAGGCCACTCCTCTGTCTACTCGCCACTCGCTCTCAGCTCTGCCTTCGGATGAGTCCGTAGAGTCGAGTGGCCCGTACCCAGAGCTTGTTGGCTGCCTCATGTACCTGATGACCTGCACACGACCTGACCTTGCATACCCTCTTAGCATTCTTGCACGCTATGTTGCTCCTGGGAGACACAGACCGGAGCACATGGCTGCAGCGAAGAGGGTGTTGCGCTACTTGTGCAGTACGTCGGGCATGGGGCTTGTGCTTGGAGGGCAGAGTCCAGTGGTCCTTACTGGGCACGCAGACGCTTCTTGGGCTGACGACCAGGCTACGCAGCGGTCGTCACAGGGTTACACCTTCAGCCTTGGTTCCGGCTCTGTTTCGTGGCGGGCTACTCGCTCGTCTTCTGTTCTCGGCTCCAGTTGTGAGGCTGAGATCTACGCAGGAGCCATGGCTGCACAGGAGCTTCGCTGGCTCACCTACCTGCTGACTGACCTCGGAGAGTTGCCTCGTTCTCCTCCAGTGCTGTACGTAGACAACAAGGCCATGCTGGCCTTGTGTCGGGAACAGCGACTGGAGCACAGAACGAAGCACATTGCTCTCCGCTACTTTCTTGCTCGTGAGCTGCAGCAGCGTGGTCAGCTGCGTCTTGCGTACGTGGCCTCTGAGGCCAACACTGCTGATATCTTCACCAAGGCACTTGCGCCTTGTGACCATCAGCGCTTCTGTACTCAGCTGGGCCTTGTGCCTACCTTGCCTCACTTGCTCACCTCTTGACCTTGCTTGTACTGTTACATATATATATACCTGCTCTTGTTTGTCTAGCCTTTTTATATATATGTGTACTCGTGCTTGTGAACTGGCCTTGTGGCCTTGAACTTGTGCTCGGAATGTGTGGTGACTTTGTGATCCACCCTGAGCTTGTTTTTGCTTTGCTTTGCTTGACTGGTCTTGTGACCCCTTGTTCTCCCCCACTGTGCCTATGGGGGTGTGTCAGATTTATATGACATAGCTACTGTAGGCTATAGTGGGGTAGCACATATGGGGTACAGTTTTCTAGGGTTTGGTTCTTGTACCCAACTTTCACTTAGTCATTTCCATTCCTCGTTTCTTCTCATGAACTTGCATGTGAACTGGCCTTGTGGCCTTTGAACCTGTGCTCAGACTGTGTGGTGACGTTGTGATCCACCCTGAGCTTGCTTTGCTTTGCTTTGCTTGACTGGTCTTATGACCCCTAGTTCTCCCCCACTTTGCCTATGGGGGTGTGTCAGATGTATATGCCTTAGCCTATGTAGGCTGTAGTGGGGTAGACACTAAGGGGTACAGCTTTCATATTTGTATCTCACACTTTCCTAGTTCATCTATTCCTGTTTCTTTCTTCACACACGTCACATCACATCACAACACGTCACATCACATCACAACACGTCACATCACATGACATCACATCCTACCCCTAAGCATCTGTGCCTGCTCATCACCTACCTCTATGCACGTGCGGCTGGCCCTTCTCCGCCATGCTCTTGACGGCACGTGCCACACTCTCCATCACCCGCCGCTGCCGCTTCCTCTCCATTGCCTGCACCCACACCGGCCTCGACCGCTTCACACCCCTCCCCGCTCTCCCCTCCTCCCTTCTCTCTCTTTCCTGCCTCTCCCCCACCCCATTCTCTCCTTCAAGATCCCCATCCCCCCGTCGTGCATTGGCATTTCCTCCTCCCCCATCCCCGGCCCCTCCCCCCTCGCCCTCAACCGCGAGCCTCTCTGTGCCGCCTTGTTCCCTCCTTCTCACTGCCATGCCAGCGATCCGCGCTGCCAGCCTCGCAGGGTACTCGTCCCTCTCATCCGCACTTGCACCACCAGTCTCACCCACACGAGCCACGTCAGCACAGGCCACATCAGCACGAGCCACGTCAGCAAAGGTGACATTGTTACGTGCCACCTCAGCACGCGGAACACCATCGACCCTACCATTCTCCTGTGCAGCCCCGACCCCACCACTCCCAACCCCTCTCCCTTCCACACCCTCTCGTCCCTCTCTTCTCCTCGCACCCCCTCCATGTGCAGCCTGTTGCAACGCATCCATCCTCCACGTCCCCAACCACTCATCACCACCCAACTCTCCACCCCTCCACCGCTCTCCACTTGCCCCCCGTGCCTCCAACCCCTCTCTGTCTCTCCGCCGCCGCACATTCCTCCTTGATCCACGCCTATACCTCCCTGCCACTCGCCGCAGCCGACTCCCATCGCCCCATCCCTCTCCCTGCTCCTCTTCTTCAAACTCCTCCTCCTCCGCATCCTCATTCCCCTCCCCACCTGCACGCACCTCCACCACTTCATCCTCCCCCTCTCCCCAATCCTCCTCGTTCTCAACCTCCTGTCAGAACACATATATAGCTTATGCTGTTGTGTAGGCTATAGTGGGGTATCCCATAGGGGGTACAACCCAATTAGGGTTTCCTATATGTACTCACTTCATTCATAGTTCATCCATTCTCGTTCTACTATTCTCATGGTGACTGTTACCAGTGTTTCCCGCCCGACCCGGGCATTAGTACTGCTGCGCCAGGTACTTCTGCGGCTGCTGCTCTAGGTGCCAGTGCGTCTGCACTCTCAGGTACTGGTGAGGCTGCGCTCTCAGGTACTGCGTCGGCTTCGGCCTCCCTCACCTTCACACTTGACTCAGGGGCTTCTCGCTCCTTCTTTCGAGACCGCACCACACTCACGCCGCTTGGCCGGCCGGTTGCAGTCTCCCTGGCTGACCCCTCTGGGGGTCCTGTCCTCTCTCACTTCTCCACTGTCCTCCCGTGTCCGGCTGCCCCCTCGGGCACCTTGTCTGGTCTGTACCTCCCCTCGTTCTCGACGAACTTGGTGAGTGGTGCTGACTTGCAGGATGCGGGGGTTCACCAGTTTACTCCTGCGAGTCAGCGGGTGACCCACTGCTCGGATGCCCGCACAGGCCGACACCTGGCCACGTTCTCGCGTCGGCCAGGGTCGAGTCTCTACACACTGACCACTGCGTCTCCTCCTGTCCCTGCGTCTGGCCAGGTAGCTGCGTCGGGTCAGGTGTTTGCTGCTGCGTCCAGGTCTGGTCCTGAGTCTGCCCCCTGCTCGTGTCGCCGCCTGTCTCACGAGACTCTCCTGTGGCACCACCGCCTTGGCCACCCCTCCTTGCTTCGTCTTCGGGGCATGGCTTCCCGTGTCCTTGTCTCTGGTCTTCCCCGGTCTCTCCCTCCCCTCCCTTCGGGACCCGGACCTTCTTGTGTCCCCTGTGTCGAGGGGCGGCTTCGGGCTGCCCCTCACTCCTCTCAGTTTCCCCCGACAGAGGCTCCTCTGCAGACGCTTCACATGGACGTGTGGGGCCCCGCCCGCGTCCGTGGGCAGGGTCACGAGCGCTACTTCCTGCTGGTGGTTGACGATTACTCGCGTTACACCACAGTCTTCCCCTTGCGCAGCAAGGGTGATGTCACTGCGGTGTTGATCGACTGGATCCGCGCAGCTCGTCTCCAGCTCAGGGGGAGCTTCGGCTCGGACTTTCCTGTTCTGCGTCTGCACTCTGACCGAGGTGGAGAGTTCTCCTCTGGCCTTCTGCGAGCCTACTGTCGTGCACGAGGCATCCGCCAGACCTTTACGCTTCCGGACTCTCCACAGCAAAATGGGATTGCTGAGCGCCGCATTGGCATGGTCATGGACGTCGCTCGTACGTCCATGATGCATGCGGCTGCCCCCCATTTTCTGTGGCCGTTTGCGGTTCGGTACGCGGCGCATCAGATCAACCTTCACCCCAGGGTCTCCCGGCCGGAGACCTCCCCAGCTCTGCTGTGGACGGGGAAGGTCGGCGATGCGTCTGCGTTCCGTGTCTGGGGATCTCGGGCGTTTGTCCGCGACTTGTCTGCGGACAAGCTGTCCCCTCGTGCTGCTCCCTGTGTCTTCCTCGGCTTCCCCCCTGACGCTCCAGGGTGGCAGTTCTACCACCCCTCCTCTCGTCGTGTTCTGTCCTCCCAGGACGTCACGTTCGACGAGTCAGTCCCCTTCTACCGCCTCTTCCCCTACCGCACTCCTTCCCTCCCCCCGCCACCGCACTTCCTTGTGCCAGGTCCCCCCCCGGTAGACCCCCTTCCCCCTCAGGGTCCTGCCCCTTCAGGTGTGTCCCAGGTAGACGCAGTCGAGCTGGTCGAGGTTGCTGGTGACTCTGGTCCTGCTGCGGGTGCTGAGCCTGGGGGTGCTGAGTCTGGGGGTGCTGAGCCTGGGGGTACTGCGACTGGGGGTGCTGAGCCTGGGGGTGCGGAGTCTGGGAGTGCTGAGCCTGGGGGTGCTGCGACTGGGGGTGCTGAGCCTGGGGGTGCGGAGTCTGGGGGTGCTGAGCCGTGGGGTGCTGCTACTGGGGGTGCTGAGCCAGGGGGTGCTGCGTCTGGAGGTGCTGAGCCTGGAGCTGCGGAGCCTGCGGCCACTGGACCTCCCCTTGTGGCGTCTGGCGGTGCGGGACCTGGCGGTTCTCCGGGTGCTTCGCCTCGGCGGGAGCCCCTCTCTCCACAGGAGCTGCGCGAGTGGTTTGCCCGGCGCTGGAGGCGTGCTGCTGGAGCTGGAGGTTCTTCGGCTACTGAGGGTGCTGGTGCCGCGGGTCCCGGAGGTGCTGGAGCTGGAGCTGCTGAGGGCGTTGGTGCTGAGGCTACTGCTGTCGGTCCTGGAGGCGGTCCTGCTGGGGGTGCTACTGGTGCTGCTGGAGGTCCTGGAGCTGGAGGTGCTACTGGCGCTGGTGCTGCCGCTGGGGGTACTGGTGCTGTCCCTGCTGTGTCTGGAGTCGTCGCGCGGCCTAGACCGTACTTCGTTCCGCTCCTTCAGCAGGTTCTTGGTCTCCCGCCTTCTACTAGTCCTCCTCCTCCCTTAGAGTGTCCACAGCCTGTTCTGTCACAGTTACAGTTACAGCCGGCCTCCCCACTGCCCGCTCCTTCTCCCTACACTGGTCCTACTGGAGGTCTTGCTGAGCGTCGTGAGCCTGCGTCTCGCCCTGCGTCGCCTGTCCGTGCTGCTCGCACTAGTGGTCGTGGTTCGCGTCAGCGTCCTCCTCCTGTCCCTGGCACGCACCGGATGTCTCTGCGTCCGTCCACTGCTCCTCTGCGTGCCCCTTTGCCTTCTCCTCCTGAGTCCTCTCTTCCTGCTCTTCCTGACCCGGAGTCGGACTCTCTTCGTGCTGCCAGTCCTGCTGTCACACGTCTCCTTGCTACTGTCGTCACTGACCCCTCTTTTGAGTCCACTGCTGCGTCTGCGCTTGTTGCTGAGCTCGTCGACTTTGCTGCTCGCTGTCGTCTAGACTACGCTGCCGATCTTGTTGCTGAGTCTGCGTCTGTCTGTCCTCCGTCCGTCGGGGGTGAGTGTGCTCTTGGCACGGACGTCCTTGAGGACAGGCAGGAGGAGTTCAGGTGTCTGGCTGCTGCTTCACCTCATCTCGCGTCCGTACTACTTGCCCCTGAGGGAGACCCGGATGCACTAGACATCCCGACTCCGCGCTCTTACGCGGAGGCCGTAGAGGGTCCCTACTCCTCTCAGTGGCAGGCAGCTATGGATGCAGAGATGGCGTCCTGGAAGTCCACAGGCACCTACGTTGACGCGGTTCCCCCTCCTGGGGCGAACATCGTCAGTGGCATGTGGATCTTCAGGGTGAAGCGGCCGCCGGGCTCTCCACCTGTCTTCAAGGCGCGGTACGTCGCTCGTGGCTTCAGTCAGCGGCAGGGAGTTGACTACTTTCAGACCTTCTCTCCCACCCCGAAGATGACCACTCTTCGGGTGCTGCTGCACATAGCCGCTCAGCGCGACTACGAGCTCCACTCTCTTGACTTCAGTACTGCTTTCTTGCAGGGTAGCCTGCACGAGGAGATCTGGCTGCGCCGTCCACCTGGCTTCACTGGGACTTTTCCTCCTGGCACCCAGTGGAGCCTCCGACGGCCAGTCTACGGTCTCCGCCAGGCACCGCGTGAGTGGCACGACACACTGAGGACTACGCTTGCGGCTCTTGGGTTTGCTCCCTCTACTGCTGACCCGTCGTTGTTTCTGCGCACCGACACTTCTTTGCCGCCGTTCTACGTCCTCGTGTACGTCGACGACTTGGTCTTTGCCACAGCTGACACTGTTGGACTAGCCTACGTGAAGTCCGAGCTGCAGAAGAGACACACGTGCACAGACCTCGGTGAACTGCGCAGCTACCTTGGCTTGCAGATCACTCGGGACAGAGCACGCCGCACCATTACCTTGACTCAGTCACACATGGTGCAGCAGGTCCTTCAACGCTTCGGCTTCACGTACTCCTCGCCTCAGGCCACTCCTCTGTCTACTCGCCACTCGCTCTCAGCTCTGCCTTCGGATGAGTCCGTAGAGTCGAGTGGCCCGTACCCAGAGCTTGTTGGCTGCCTCATGTACCTGATGACCTGCACACGACCTGACCTTGCATACCCTCTTAGCATTCTTTCACGCTATGTTGCTCCTGGGAGACACCGACCAGAGCACATGGCTGCAGCGAAGAGGGTGTTGCGCTACTTGTGCAGTACGTCGGGCATGGGGCTAGTGCTTGGAGGGCGGAGTCCAGTGGTCCTCACTGGGCACGCGGACGCTTCTTGGGCAGACGACCAGGCTACACAGCGGTCGTCGCAGGGTTACACCTTCAGTCTTGGTTCCGGCTCTGTCTCGTGGCGGGCTACTCGCTCGTCCTCTGTTCTCAGCTCCAGTTGTGAGGCTGAGATCTACGCCGGGGCCATGGCTGCACAGGAGCTTCGTTGGCTCACCTACCTGCTGACTGACCTTGGAGAGCCGCCTCGTTCTCCTCCAGTGTTGTACGTAGACAACAAGGCCATGCTGGCCTTGTGTCGAGAGCAGCGCTTGGAGCACAGAACGAAGCACATTGCTCTCCGTTACTTTCTTGCTCGTGAGCTGCAGCAGCGTGGTCAGTTGCGACTTGCGTACGTGGCCTCTGAGGCCAACACTGCTGATGTGTTCACCAAGGCACTTGCGCCTTGTGACCATCAGCGCTTCTGCACCCAGCTGGGTCTTGTACCTGTCTTGCCTCACTTGCTCTCTTCTTGACCTTGCTTGTACTGTCACATATATATTCCTGCTCTTGCTTGTCTAGCTCTATATATATATGTGTACTCCTGCATGTGAACTGGCCCTGTTGCCCTGTCGTTGTGCTCGGACTGTGTGGTGACTTTGTGATCCACCCTGAGCTTGCTCTGCTTTGCTTGACTGGTCTTGTGACCCCTTGTTCTCCCCCACTTTGCCTATGGGGGTGTGTCAGAACACATATATAGCTTATGCTGTTGTGTAGGCTATAGTGGGGTATCCCATAGGGGGTACAACCCAATTAGGGTTTCCTATATGTACTCACTTCATTCATAGTTCATCCATTCTCGTTCTACTATTCTCACCTCCCACTCCTCCTCGTCCTCCTCCCACTCCACCTCAGCAGGGCAAGTGTGGACATTGAGCAGAGCGAGGGGCAGCCAGGGCGCCGTGTGCTTGCACCACCGCCTGTAGTGCTTCCACTGCCCATGTTGTTTCAGCCACAGGCTGATGCCCAGCTGAAGAAGGGCGGTGGGGGGGGGGGAGGTGAAGGGAGTGGGGAAATGGGGGTAAGCGGGATAGGAGCAACGGAGTGAAGGGAGGGGGGAGGAGTGTGGTCATTGCCGTGCGGGGCTTCCGTGAGAGAGAGGGGCAGAGGAGGAGGCGGAGGAGGCGGAGGAGGCGGAGGAGGCAGAGGAGGGTGGTAGACCTTACAGTACAGACCACCTTGGGTGGGGGACAAACCACAGCGCACCTTGAGCTCTCTCACCTCTCCCGCTCACCACTTCCTCTCACCACCTCACCTCTCCCGCTCACCACTTCCTCTCACCACCTCACCTCTCCCTCTCACCACTTCCTCTCACCACTTCCTCTCACCACTTCCTCTCACCTCGGGCTCTCTCACCACCTCACCTCGCCCTCTCCACCACTTCGCATCGCCCTCTCACCACTTCACACCACCCTCTCACCACTTCACATCGCCCTCTCACCACTTCACATCGCCCTCTCCACCACTTCACATCGCCCTCTCACCATCTCACCTCGAGGTCGGGGTTGAAGGGCTGAGTGGTGGGGTCCCAGGTGACTTCAGGCGGCAGCAGCTCCTGCAGAAACTGAATATCCTTCACCCACCCGCGCACCGAACCGCACCGGATTCTCAGCTGCTCCTTCGAGTACCGTGGTAACCCCTGCATAAACCACTTGCGGTGCACCGCCCCCCAGTCCTCGATCCTGCCATGGAGAGGGGTGCCCTGAGTGCGCAGCACGTCGCGAATGATCTCCAAAAGAGCTGTTGTCTGCTCGTTGTCCCACATCGGCCGCCACTTGCCGCTTTTCAATGCTTGTTCCCGCCGCTCCCGCTGTTCACGCAACCCTGTGTCCGTACCTGTGCCCGTGCCCGCGCCCGCGCCTGTGCCTGTACCTGCACCTGTGCCCGTGCCCATGCCCGTGCCCGTGCCTGCGAGCGTGGCACCTTCCCTGCCTGTGGAGCCATTGCCCAGCAACCCAAGCTCGTAGGTGTTCGTGTGCGGGGGGGGCACGGGGAGATCAAGGGGGGGCGGATGGAGGGAGGGCGAGGGGAAGGCATAAGGGGGGAGGGAGGGCTGTGCACGATCAGGGGATGCTGCGGGTGCGGGATTGGGGCTTGCTGCTGCAGCAGCACACTGGTGCGGACTGCTGTTTTCAAGTCCCGGGCGGCGGCGCTGCCGACCTATAATGTACGCTGCATCCGCCTCATCATCCCCACTCGAGAGGTCGTATTCACCCGGGTCGTCAGAGTAATACCTATCGCCATCCTCTGTGGTGGTGCATGCGTGGTTGACATGACGTGACACCTGCTCGCCAAGGCTAAGCCACGGTGCGGTGTGGGTGAGCCATCGTTTACAATCAGCCCATTTACGCGGAGGGATATTGACATCATGAACCTGCATGATACGGGAATGGGGAGGAGAGGGTGTGTAAAAAAAAAAAACAACCGCCCTCTTCAAATTGCATTTCTATGTCAGCACAAGGAGACGGGCAGTGCCTGCCTAGGAGGCTTACTTTGTGAGAATCCTAAAAAATGACTTCAACTTACCATGGTACTTGGGTCGAAGAAGTCGCGTGCAGGGTCCCAGTTCACACCTTCTCGAACCCACGACTTGAGTTCCCTGATGTCTTTGACCCATGCCTTCACTGCGTTGAGCCGGTTCCGCAGCTGCTCCGTCGTGAAGTTCAAATCGGCATGCTGGGCATGCCACCGGGCGAAGATAGCATCCCAGCACTGCACTTTGGCAAAGGGCGCCCTGCCTGCATCCCGCATGGCCGCTATGACACAGCGGAGAAGGTCGGCTGTGAGGTCATCGTTCCACATTGGGAAAGACCTTGTGCCAGTGGCGGTGGTTCTAGCTGGGCCTATACTTGCAATGGACGGGAGTGCAGCGGGTGCGGTAGTGGGGCTTGCAGCAGGAGCGGGGGGTGGGGATGCAGTGTGTGGGGGAACGGGGGATGCTGCAGGTGCAGGGGGGAGGGATGCAGGAGGATGGGATCTGGTGGCCATTGAAGGCGCAGACGGGTGAGGACTGCTCTGCTCAAGTCCCAGCCGGCGGCGCTGCCGACCTCTAGTATACGCTGCATCCGCCACTTCATCGCCACTCGAGAGGTCGTCTCCACCTGGGAAGTCTGAATAGTATCTGTCGCCATCCCCATTCGCCAATGCGTAGCTGCTGCCACGCAACCTGGATTTGGGTACCACATGCTCGCCAAGGCTAAGCCACGGTGCGGTGTGGTAGACCCACCGTTTATAATCGACCCATTTACCATGCTTCATGATATTATCAGTATCACGAACCTGCACGAAAGGAAATGGGAGGAGAGTGGTAGGTACAAATATTCAAATGCCCTCTTCAAGTTGAGAGTCACTGTCAACACAAGGAGACAGGCAGGCAGCGCCGCCTGGGGGGCTTACCATGGTATGCGGGGCGAAGCGATCGGTAGCGGGGTCCCAAGTCACTCCCGGGCGGACACACGACTTGAGTTGCCGGATGTCTTTGACCCACGCCTTCACCGCGTTTAGCCGGTTTCGCAGCTGCGCTTCCGTGAAGTTCAAATCGGCATGCTGGGCATGCCACCGGGCGAAGACAGCATCCCAGCACTGCACTTTGGCAAAGGGCGCCCTGCCTGCATCCCGCATGGCCGCTATGATACAGCGGAGGAGGTCCGCTGTGAGGTCATCGTCCCACTTTGGGCTTGATCTTGTGCCAGCGGTGGTGGTTCTAACTGGGCCTCTACTTGCAGTTGGGGGCTCACTGGGAATAGAGCCGTTGGGCGGCAGAGGAGGGCGTGGAGGGTCGGCAAAGGGCGGACGTGGAGGGTCGGCAAAGGGTGGGCGTGGGGGGTTGGGAAAGGGTGGGCGTGGAGGGTTGGGAAAGGGTGGGCGTGGAGGGTCAGCAAAGGGTGGGCGTGGAGAGTCGGCAAAGGGTGGGCATGGAGGGTCGGCAAAGGGTGGGCATGGAGGGTCGGCAAAGGGTGGGCGTGGAGGGTCGGCAAAGGGTGGGCGTGGAGGGTTGGCAAAGGGTGGGTTTGGAGGATCGGCAAAGGGTGGGCGTGGAGGGTCGGCAAAGGGTGGGCGTGGACGGTTGGCAAAAGAGCCGATGGGGGTGTGAGGGTGCGATGGCGGCAATTGACTGCCGATGGCGATGGGGGTGCAAAATACAACAGAATTGCCATTGCCAGGCACGTGACTGTATTCCAACAGCGTGGTCTCATCGTGGCAAAGAAGACTCGTCTCACAGGTCACTGCTGTGCCAGTCGGTCCGACCCGGGCTGAAGCTTGCATTTCAACTAGCGGCAGGGACCCTGGCTGTGACGAGCCTGGCTGTGACGAGCCTGGCTGTGACGAGCCTGGATGTGACGAGCCTGGATGTGACGAGCCTGGATGTGACGAGCCTGGATGTGTCGAGCCTGGATGTGACGAGCCTGGATGTGACGAGCCTGGATGTGACGAGCCTGGATGTGACGAGCCTGGATGTGACAAGCCTGGATGTGACAAGCCTGGATGTGACGAGCCTGGAGGTAAGGACAGAGTGGACAGGGGGATAGGGAGTGACCATGGGGGGAAGAGTGGGTGGAGAGGGGAAGAGAGTTAGCAGGGGGGAGAGAGTGATTAAGAGGGAAGAGGGTGAGAAGGGGGAAGAGAATGATAAGGGGGGAATAGAGTGATTAGTGGGGGATAGAGTGATCAGGGGGAAAGAGAGTGAGCAATGGGGAAAGAGAGTATGGGCGGACGGGAGAAGGGGAGGAGATGAGAATGGGCGGACGGGAGAAGGGGAGGAGATGAGGATGGGCGGATGAGAGAAGGGGAAGGGGAAACAGGAGAATGATGACGGGAGGACGTGGGGAGATGCGGAAGGGAGAAGGGGAGGAGATGAGGATGGGCGGACGGGAGGAGAAGGTGTAACGCATCGACCTACTTCTCGCCTAACTCCCTAGCTAACAACCTGACACTCAAAGGCATTCGTCGAGATTGCTCTCGATAGTTATTGGGCTACGAGTGAGTGAAGGTTGAGTTGGGAGAGAAAGGGTTGGGTTGGGAATTCCAAACCTCAACCAATAGGTTTGGGAAATTCGAACCCATCAAAGTGGAATGTTGAAGGTTGGATTTCCAACCAATCAGAAACTGTCAATTCAGTGTAACAATCTACTCTATCTTAAAAAACAACCATTCAATGGTTCTAGGTTGGGTTTTCCCAACCCAACTAATTGCCACATAGGCTCCAAGCCTAGGAACCATCCCACCATGGAAACCATGGTTGGGATAGTTCCCCAAGGGGTGTATTGAGGGGGTCTGAGCTAAGCAAGCTCATTCTCAACCTCCCACTCCAACTAAACAATTGGAAATGGGATTATTTGGCTAAGTCATTTTGGTTCTCTCACAAGCTTCCCTACACTACTATTCCAAGTGTTTTCCATCAAAGGCATCAAGAAGATCTTCATCTCCAAGGCTATTAAGGCTAGTTAGAGCTACTATTTTGTATTGGAATATTATAAAAGCCTGGTAACCGCCATTATAATAGTCTTGGGCATTACAGAAGGGGAAGGGAAAACGGGAGGAAATGATGACGGGAGGACGAGAGGAGATGAGGGTGAGAGAATGGATGAGATGCGATGGGAGAATGGGATGGCAGATGCAAAACGACGACGTCACGTGGCAGTCAATATCGACCACCTGACACATCGCGATAGCGCTTGCACTTAGCGATAGCATGTCAAAACGCTGGCCAGGTATCATCAATCGCTATGACTGATTATCATTCCAGCATACCTAATAGAATGGGTTCAAAAATAACCTCGAAAGTCGCACGAAAAGCGGGCCACGATCGAAGCGCGCTTACGGTAGACGCCACGCGTCAGCAATTGTCCTTATAAGGAATATTAGGAAGCTCCGGAAGTATCTAGGAAACTGCGTCGAGCTTCGCTAGAATTCCAGCCTACGGAGGTTTGGTAGAGCAGCAGCCTAGGGTTCTCGAAATTTTACGCCCTTGAGCCAGTTTGTCACGTGGATTGGCTTGTCCCCCCAGGTTGATAGGAATGTTTAATGGCACCAGATCGCAAGAGACAAGTACTGTAGCGACGAGTCGCGCAAGGTGAGAAGGTTGAGAAAGAGGGTGTACTCGCTGACAGGCTTTGTTTGGCTGCACAGAGACAACCAACATGCAACACACAGAAGTGCAACCAGGCCAGCGTTTGTCAGAAAGGTTAAAGCTGCGGTCTACATACCTAGAGCGGGAGGCCTCGGATTATCACTTGAAAACCGGGTGACCAGTTTTTGAACTCGGCCACCCTTCCTGCAAAGCTAACGGTTCAGAGGGGTGGAGAGAGGGGGTTGGGGTTCTTTCCGCCTGAAACAGAACTCCCCAGGTTGTTTCCCGCCCTTCCGCAGACCCTCCCCCAAACTACGCGTCAGCACGAAAAAGGGCTGGATTCGCGTTTCCTGTCTGAGTTCGTCTCCTGAGGTGTTTCTGAAACGGCTGAATTCGTTCTCCAATCAAAATGCACGAAAGGGTGGGCATAAAGAATACACCCAAAAAACACCACTTAGTATGTAGACCGCAGCTTTAAGGCTTGCCAAGAACCAACTTCGAGCGGCTTTTACCTAATGCATGCAGATTTTGCTAGTGCTAGTTTGCAAATGCATGCAATTGACGTTTCAGGGAAAAATGCCGGCCTCCCGGCAAAACCATGCGGTTACCCGTGTTTAGGGTTGAGGATCCCCCAGTCGCATACCATCCAGATGGGGTTTATTTTTTTCTGACCGCGGGCAGATAACAGTCCGTCATCCTCTTTCCCCTACAGCCGTCTGCATAATCACACTAGCATAAGTTGAATGCCGTTGAAAATGGCCCCAACTTCGAGACCCTACGAGAGCCGTCCTCCCAAAGCTCACTCCCACACCGTTTTTCCTTCGTAGGCATACTGCCACGAAACGCAATGATTAGGGAGGTTCCAACTTTGTACACTCTCGTTTTTGTCGTTATTTTTACGTCAACACAGTTGTCAAAATTTACTATACCCCAGGGCATACTCCTAACTTTCCTATCCAGTTCGGAGTGTACACTGCGGACTTTTGACGAAGTACATTAATATTGCGAGGTACAGTATATGGGAAGGAGAGTTACCAAATGTTACGAGGGTTTCCTTATTTAGGGCGAAGGGATTAATATAATGGCGAAAGAGTTTGGCAAAAATCGGGCGTTACTGTTTGATGAATTTGACGGGAATTTGACGAACCTTCGGATGTGTTCCGCACATCCCGGGGCACGTTTCCGAAATGAGCTGATTTATGTACAGCATCACGTCAAACGAATTTCGTAAGTCAAAAGTTCTGTTACATGCTTAATTTTGGTAACTGAGCTGAAAATTAACAGTACATGTGCAAAATTTGACCCGCCCTTTGGACGCGGACACTCTCACAACATTTGCTTAATCTACCATTTTTATGTTCGTTTTTTGATGGGTTCTGAAAATATCAGATTAAATAGCAGGTTTCCACTATCGTAGCGGATCTGCACGATCGATCTCCGAAACAGGTGCGAGTGTCCGTATCCGCATTCATGTCTGTTGGAATAACCGAAAGGTTATTATAACATTCCCGAAGGTTCTCCTTAGCGCACTACCTCATAACGAGGCAGCGCACATGTACGAGTTATCAAACTATATATGCTGCATGTTGTTTAGGCTGTAGTGGGGTAGCCCATATGGGGTACAACCCAATTAGGGTTTCCCACTTGTACCCTTGCATGCTGCTAGTCCATTATCCTCGTTATTCTGCTGACATGGTTTCAAAGCAGGTCCTAGCCTAGGACCGGTTTTTTATTTAGGGCCCACCGAACTGCGCTACCCCACGAGTCGCGCCGCCCTGTTAGTGCCGCGCCGCCCTGCCTTGCCCGCGCGCCGTCTGCCGCTGAGCGCCCTGCCCTGCCCGTCCGCCGCCCGCATCCGCGCGCCCTGCCCTGCCCATGCGCCGCTAGCAGCCGCGCTGCCCTGCCTGCGTCGCGCCGCCCGCGCACGCCCTGCCCTGCCCTGCGTCGCGCTGCCCCGCGCGAGCCCTGCCCTGCGTCGCGCCGCCCACGCATGCCCTACCCTGCCCTGCGTCGCGCTGCCCCGCGTGAGCCCTGCCCTGCTTCGCGCCGCCCGTGCACGCCCTACCCTGCCTGCGCACCACTCGCCGCCGCGTGCCCTGCCTTGCCCGCGCGCCGTCCACTGCTGAGCGCCCTGCCCTGTGGCGCGCCGCCCGCGCACGCCCTGCCCTGCGTCGCGCCGCCTGCACACGCCCTGCCCTACCTGCGCGCCGCCCTGCACACCTGAGCTCGCTTCCAGCACACCTGAGCTCGCTTATCGCACACCTGAGTTTGGTTCCTGCATACCTGAGCTCGCTTCCCGCACGCTTGAGCTCGCTTCCAGAACACCTGAGCTCGCTTACCGCACACCTGAGCTCGCTTACCGCACACCTGAGTTTGCTTCATGCATACCTGAGCTCGCTTCCCGCACGCCTGAGCTCGCTTCCCGCACACCTGAGCTCGCTTCCCGCACGCCTCGAGCGCGCCTACTCTGCTGCTCGCGCACCACCCTGCTCTGCCCGCTATGGCGACTCTCAGCGTCCTCACCTTTGATCCAGAGGGCCGCCCGATAGAGTTCCAGTCTTGGCTCGATGACTTACAGCTATTCTTACTGAGCAACTCTAAGGACGGTATTTCGCTGTTTGACCTCACGTCTAGAGCCTCTCCTGCCCCTCCCGACTCAGCTGACAATACGACCCGCTCACAGTGGCTTACCCGTGACGCTACTGCTCACCTAGTCGTTCGCAATCACCTGCCGTTAGCCGAACACGCTCACTTTGGCGAGCACAAGACTGCTAAAGCCCTGTATGACGCTGTAGTCACTCGTTACTCCTCCCCGGCCACTGCTGCTCTAGGCCGCCTTCTACTGCCCTACCTGTTCCCAGAGCTGTCCGCTACCGAGCCGCGCTTCCTGCCGAGTTCCTCACCAAGAACCCTCCTCCCATGTACATCACTCTCTGCTTCATAGTCACCCGCCTCCCTGACTCTCTTAGCGCTGTCAGGGTCCTCCTTCTCGCCCTTGACCCCACAGACCTCACTGTCGACCTGCTCGAGAAGCACCTCCTTGCAGCTGAGACTAGCATAGTCGCTGTAGGCGCTTCTCGTGGCACTCCTCGCACTCCCTTCTTTGAGGGGTGCCCGCCCTCCCCCCTTCTCCCCTCCGTCGCCTCTGCTGCAGCTATTGACTACCTTCGTGCTGAGGAGGTGGGAGTTGCGTCTG